TAGAATATTGATGAACAATACTGTTTAACAATTTTGTTGAAACAAATGTTGGAACAAAAGATTCAAGAAAGATGATTTTGAGAAAACAAGAAGAAGAAGAAGAAGAAGAAGAAGAAGAGAGAGAGAGAGAGAGAGAGAGAGAGAGAGAGAGAGAGAGAGAGAGAGAGAGAGAGGTTGTGAGTTAGTTAAGTGCAATTAACTTTCTAACTGAATGTATTATTATTTTATGCACTTGTTGTTGTTATGATTACAAACATAATTTCCCTTTATATAGGTAAAGTGCCCAGGCCAAATACATGCTAAAAGCCCAAATAACTACATAACAAGAATTAACCAACTAATACATCCCCTAATTCATGTTATCAAGACTTCTCATCCCAGTGCCTTTCTTTAACTCTTCGAACCTCACTTTCTTCAGAGGTTTGGTGAATATGTCAACTAGTTGCACTTTTGTCTTACAATGTTTAATTTCAAGATTCCCTTTGTTGACTTGATCCCTCAGAAAATGATACCTTCTTTCAATGTGCTTACTTCGACCATGACACACTGGGTGATTCTCAAGGTTTATAGCTGACTTGTTATCAACAAACAACTTTATCTTCGATTCCATTATTCTGAGTTCTTCAAGTAGTATTTCAATCCATGCTGCTTGGCATGCAGCATATGATGCAGCCACATATTATGCTTCGCATGATAACAAATCCACAATGCTTTACTTCCTCGAACTCCAGGAGATTGGAGCTCCTTTGATCATGAATATGTATCTTGCAGTACTCTTCTTTTTATCTTGATCTCCACTGTAATATGAGTCAGTGTATCCATGAACTTCGACGTTTGAGTTGTTCTACGATTTCTTTGGTAACAATACACCATGACCAATAGTTCCCTTTATGTATCTCAACACCCTATTTACTGCAATGAGATGACATTCTTGAGGTTTCTCCATAAATCTGCTCAACAATCCTACACTTTGGCAGATATCTGGTCTAGTATTGTAAAGATACCTTAAGGATCCAATGACTTGTTTGTAAAGAGTTGAACTTACAAATTCATCATTCGATTCCTTTTTCAGCTTTGCTCCAGATTCTAATAGAGTAACAACTATCTTACAGTTGCTCATATTGAACCTCTTCGGTACATCTTGAGCATACTTCGTTTGATGCAAGAAAACTCCTTCTTCGATGTATTTGAATTCCATTCCCAGGAAATAGGAGAGGTTCCCTGAATCAGACATTTCGAATTCCTACATTAACTTCGACTTTACCTTTATTATCTCAGCTTTGTCTGCTCCTGTAATGAGTAAGTCATCAACATAGATACATAAAATGATTCGATTGACACTTCCTACATCATTTACATATACTCCATGTTCAGAGACACACTTTGTGAAACCTACTTTGGTTAGGAAGCTATTTATCCTTTTATTTCAAGCTCTAGGAGCTTGCTTCAAGCCATAGAGAGCCTTCCTTAATCTGTAAACTTTTGACTCCTGCCCTTTGACGTCGAAACCTGGTGGTTGAGTAACGTAGACTTCTTCTTCCAATGGACCATTTAAAAATGCTGACTTTACATCAAGTTGGTGCATTTTTCTTCCTCTACATGCAACTATTGAAACAATAATCCTGATTGTTTCGATCCTTGCAACAGGCGCATATACTTCATCGAAGTCAATACCAGGTTTTTGTAGAAAACCTCTGGCCACCAGTCTTGCCTTATACTTTGCAATCTCACCATTTGGCCTTCGTTTCACCTTGTAGATCCATTTCACATTAATTGGTTTCTTGTTGGTTCTTTCGACAAGCTCCCAAGTCTTGTTCTTTTCAATGGCTCTAAGTTCTTCTTTCATGGCTTCACACCAATTCGAATTTCTCAAGGCTTCGTCCAAATCAATTGGTTCTGCTTCAGCCATCATCATGGCTTCTTTGATTAAGTCACCATCTGCATCGATTGCTTGATATGGAAACCTCTCATATCCAATCAGCCTAGTCGACTCAGTTTTTGTTCTTGTGGATCTTCTTTCATTTTGCACTGGTGGTTCTTCATTTCGACTTGTCGAAGCTTCATTCTGTTCATATTCTTCAAACACAGTTGTGACTGTGTCTGATTCTTGTCGAACTGAACTTTGACTCCAATCCCATCCTTTGCTTTCGTCTACAAGAATATCTCTATTGATCACTAGTTTATCTTCGATTGGTGAATACAGCTTGTATGCGCCAGCCAAATGATAACCTATGAGCACCGTGACTTTACTACGATCATCCAACTTCTTTCTCAATTGTTCAAGTACATGCCTGAAACACATTGATCCAAAAACTCTAAGATGACTTACAGTTGGCTTCGACCCTGTCCAAGCCTCATGCGATGTCTTTTCGACCATCTTCTTCATTGGCATCTATTTAGAATGTATATTACTGTCGAAGTTGTTTCAGCCCAAAATCTCTTAGGCATATTCTTAGCTTTCAACATACATCTTGTCATGTTCAATACACTTCTATTCTTTCTCTCAGCTATGCCATTATGCTGAGGCGTATAGGGTGCAGCAACCTCACGCTTGATACCTTCCTCTTTGCAAAATCTAGCAAATTCAGCTGAAGTATATTCACCACCACCATCAGCTCTTAACTTCTTCAATTTGCAACCACTTTGTTTCTCAGCATGTAACTTGAACTTCTTGAACTGTGTGAATACCTCACTCTTCCTTTCAATAAGGTAAACCCACATATGTCTGGTGAATTCATCAATGAAAGTAAGGAAATACCTGTTACCTCCACTGGACTTTACTTCAAAGGGTCCACACACATCTGAATGAACCAACTCCAATTTTTGCCTTTATCTTATAGGCAAGTCACGTTTGAACGCCTTCCTTGCATGTTTAGCTTTGCAACATTCCTCACCTATCTGCCTTGTTTCCTTCACATACGACAACTCAAACACCATTATTTTCTTATTGAGCATACATAAACTCTTGAAATTTAGATGTCTATACCTGTGATGCCATAGCCAGTTCTTATCTTCTTCTGTAGTTGAAGCAAGACATTTGTGGTTGCTACATCCTGAATCCAGATACCGCATGTTATTTTTCTCAATATTCGTCTGAGTGTTCACCAACAACAACACATCATCAGAATCACTATCTCCAGCTCGTGCATATTGAGCTTCATCACTATCTTTCGACCTTGCAGCTTTCTTTCTTCGACAATCTCTAGCATAGTGGCCAAAACCTTGACAATTGTAACATTGCACCTCTTTCGTGTCAATTTTCTTCCCAGAATACTTGTTGCCCACACCTTTTGAATCAGTATTCTTGCTTGACTTCTCATCACCAGCAAGATTCTTTCGCTGCTTCGACTTCTCTTTTTCAGCTTTCTTGATGAATCTTGATCGCAATGCTTGTTCAACTGTCTTCTCTCTTTCTGAGTTTCTCTGCCACAGTCTCATTTCGTGAGCCTCCAATGAAGCTTGAAGTTCTTCCAACTTCATCTTAGATAAATTCTTGGCCTCTTTAATTGTTACAACAAAGTAATCAAAATCTGCGATTAAAGATCTCAATACCTTTTCTATCTTTTGCAGATCCTTACACACTTCACCACATGCCTTCATCTGGTTTGTTAGCGTCACAACTCTTGAGAAATGTGCAGAAATAGATTCATCCTCTTTCATCTGAAGCATCTCATATTGCTTCCTTAATGTCTGTAACTTCACCTTCTTTAGTTTCTCATCTCCACCATACAAGGATTTCAGCTTTTGTCAAGCTCCTTTTGCTGTTTCTTCTTCAATTATCTTCTCGAATACATCACAATCCACACACTGGTGAATCAAGAACAACGCCTTGCCATCTTTCTTCCTCTGATATTTGTGCGCATCTTTCCGGGCTTCCGTAGCATCTACTTCCAGTTCTGATATTCCATCATTCAAGATTTCTACAACATATTGAAATATGAAAATAACCTTCATTTGCGCCACCCACCGTTGATAGTTTTCACCTTTGAAAACCGGTAGATTCGCTGGAAACTGTGTTGATGTTGTTGATCCGTTTGCTATTAGATTCTCTCTGAATCACAAACAAGCTTTGATACCAATTTGTCGGAACAAAGGATTCAAGAAAGATGATTTTGAGAAAACAAGAAGAAGAAGAGGAGAGAGAGAGAGAGAGAGAGAGAGAGAGAGAGAGAGAGAGAGAGAGAGAGAGAGAGAGAGAGAGAGAGAGAGAGAGAGAGAGAGAGAGAGAGAGAGAGAAAGATTGTGAGTTAGTTAAGTGTAACTAACTTTCCAACTAAATGTATTATTATTTTCTGCACTTGTTGTTGTTATGATTACAAACATAATGACCCTTTATATAAGCAAAGTGCCCAGACTCAAATACATACTAAAAGTCCAAATAACTACATAACAAAAATTAACTAACTAACAACGAAAATATAATTTGATAGATAAAGTGTTGATGTCATCTCTTATACAAATTATGTAGGAATGCGAGAAGTGGAAAGGGTTATATTATTTCAAATGAGAATTCAATTTTTTTAAATATTTTAAAGAAATTGAACGTTTCTAAGATTGATCTTTTAATATGTCAAATTGGAATTAAATACTCTATAAACATAGAGAAATACATCTAAGTAATTAGCCGTAAATAATGATTAAATAATGTAATTACGTTTAGGTTGTTGATAATTCTTATCTAAAGTGATTTTATATGATTATTAAAGTAACAATGAAAATAATTACTTTTATTTAATATTAAAACTACATAGTCCTCCCATTCTAGAATGAAATCCGCAAAGAATCATGAAATGTCGTCGGCAAATTATTAGATGAACCTAAACCCAATTTCAAATTAGATGTAAAAAAGAAACCACCACATTTTCCCGAAAACCCCAACATTTGCTATTGCAACACGGATCATTTTAAAATCCCCAACGAAGAGCCATCATAATTTATAATTATCTTTTTCACACATTAACTTTAATGTGTTGAAATCCAAAGTAATGCAACACCCAATCATGAATCTACCACCACATCCATCGCTACTACCACCACCACAACCACCACATCCATCGCTACTACCACCACCACATCCATCGCTACTACCACCACCACCACAACCACCCCTTCCAACCCTAAACCACCTCGACACAACCCTCTCATCCCTCACCAACCTCCTCACTTTCTCAAACCAAATCCTCTCAACCACCCCCAAACCCCAAACCCTAACCTCAAATCTCATCCCCTGCCTTTTCAACCACAACCACCTCCTCCCACCATCTTCCCTCTTCCTCCACCACCTCCGCTGCCCTTCCTCACCTCGCCCTCTTCCCGACCTCAGCCACCTCCTCACCTCCCTCTCTTACCCCAAAACCCTCCACAATCCTCAATCCATTCACCTCTCTTCCTACTTCGATTTCACTTCCAACTTCTTCTACAAATATTGCCCCGGCGTAGTTACCTTCTCCGAAGCAAACTCCGTCGCTAAAACCGCAACTTTCCATCTCCCCGACTTTTTATCCCGAGAATGTTCAGACACCACCACCAACACTAATCATAACCCTCCCTCCATTGTTCCCTCCGAATTTATCTACATTTCCCGCGAAATCGAATCATGGAACAATTTTCCTACAACCTACTCTACCTCTGTTCATCACGCAGTCTTAGGTATTGGAATTGCAAAAGAGAATGACATGGATAATTGGATAATATCCAATTCGCCTCGATACGGAGGCATTGCACTTGATACTTCTATGCAGAGTCATATATTTTTGCTGTTTTCCTTGTGTTTCAAGTCAATTCTAAGAGAAGCTTCTGTTTTCAAGAATGCCTTAATGTGGTTAGAATCTCAGGTTTCGATTCTGTATGGTGTTAATGGAAAACTATTTGTTCTTGATTTCGTGAAAAAATGTATTCTGGCTGGTGCTTCGGTTCTGCTTTTGTTTCATTTAGGGAATGACGTTGCTGACTCTGTTGCTTGGAAGAAAGAAAGGAATATTACTGATTGTATTCAGGAGAGGAAGATTTCAATGCCACAAGTTGTTGCAGCAGTTGCAGCATTGCACGAACGAGCGTTGCTTGAACGGAAAATAAAGGGATTCTGGTTTTCTCATCCGTCAAATAGCTATCAGCTGTATGTATTTGCTTATATATTCTGTATGTATAGTTTTGCACAGATGAAATTTTCTTTGGTGCACTTGGAAGTTTTGTAATATGAGTAGTGTCTTTTATTTTTTTATGGAATGGATCATTTCCAACTATGTATGATTGTGGATATCATGCGGTTGATGTGAATTATGGCTTTTTGATTCTCTAGGAAAGCTGAGCATTGTTATTTATATGATAAAGCTAATGAAGAGCGGAACAATCGCATTGATTATAGACCTATAATTGAGTATGATTGGGTTCATCGCCAGAGTTCATATAACCAGGTACTTCTAATTTGGCTTATATATTTTTCAGAAACAGTTATCCGTTTTGTGTTTTCCTAAATCATTTATTTGTCTAACTGTGGATCTGGACTCACTACGGTAGATAAATTAGAGCCGTCAAATATGAGTTGTATGATTTTCATCCAAACCCTTCTATTTTAATTGTAGTAAATCCAGTTATGTCTAACCAGTTGGGTTTTTACTCTTTTTAGTCATATTTATAGCACCGAAATACCTAGCAGATGACTATTAAGTAATTAGGGAAATAGTATGCATATATGTTATGTTAGGGATATGAAACCAGTATTACATCTGCCGCTCTTGCCACAATCCGTGTTGCTAAAACATCAAAGGGGCTCGCTAAATCGAATATGGTGGCCGCTCCTGCCACGGCCTTGACTATGGTAAGTCAAAAGGATGATTAAATCCAGTCCTATCCATTACCCTTATTGACATAATGTGCATGTCAAATTGTCAAAATAGTGATAGCAGTTCATTCAAAATTTGTTCCTGTTAACTAAGGCGTTGCCGCATTCATGAAAGTGAATATAATTTACTTTTATTCTACTAATTTACCTTTATTCTACCTATAACTGACATATTTTTTGATCTGTTATCAATTATAGGGAACACAAAAAGAGAAGACGGTCGAGGAGTTACTAGCTGAAGAAAGGGATTACAAACGTAGAAGAATGTCTTATCGTGGCAAGAAGAGAAATCAAGCACCTTTACAGGTTAGACTTGAAATTTTCTGCTTCTATCATTTAATCATAGTTGTTTTCTGCTTTTAAGTACTGAATCATCCATAAAAAAAGGTACTGAACCATTGTTCTGTTTATTCATAGTCTCTATTGAAGCTGAATAATCACAAACATCTTTTAATTATACAACAACATCTTTTAATTATCATGTAGTTATTTATTCCAGTTTGTATCGTTTTCAATATTATATCAGATTCAGTGGTGAAGGTGATCTTTGTTTGGCTTGTTTGTCTTTATCAATATTTCAGAGTAAATTATTCAGAGGAATTTCGATTTTTTTATTTAACTTCTTACATATTAACAATTTTTTTGATGTTTAATTCTAAACTCTGAAGGTGATGAGGGATTTGATAGGGGAGTACATGGAGGAAATAAAGCTGGCTGCAGGTGATAAGAGCCCTGTCAGTGTTTCTGAAGACAGTCTGATGCCTCCACCTAAACTGCCTTCTAGTCATGCCATTCCTATGGAATCCAATAATTCAAGAAAAGTTAGTGATGACTCACCTGCAGTGACAATCAGAAACCCAGGTTATCATGAGAAACAATCTCACACAATTTTTTCTGACAAAAGCAAAGCTGTACATGATGCTACTTCTAGAGATTTCAAACAACGTAAACAAGGACATCACAGGAGTCATCATAATGGAGGAGATCGTGCTTCAACAAGCCCTGAAAGACAGAGAAGTCGAAGTGGATCGCACGAGCATAGAGTTCATCATAAGAAACAAGAACTATGAAGAACTTAATTAGCTATGCTGACCAGAACTATGAAGGCATTATGCAGTAGGTAAGTTACGCCAGCCATTTCCTATTTAGAAGTTGAATATAAATTTGAATGGAAAGTTCTACTTTAACACAGTTTATTGGCACAAATTTGCAGTATTAACATATCAAGATTCGGGGCTTTTATCATTGTATCCTCCTTTGTATCCTTCACTGTGATAGAGTGTCTAGAAGCATTCATTGGACAGATTTTACTTTCTATATTATTACTATTGCATTCTTTATTTTCCCTCTCAAGATAAAAGCAACAAAATGCAATAGTGGCAACCACAATCAAATCTATTTCCGTTAAAAAGTTTTTGTTCTCATTGCTTTAGTTAGAATTTATTGCTATTTTTTAGTTTAAGTACATCATAAATGTGTCTCTAGGAGAAATGAAGCAAGATGTCAATGTTCTACTTTATTGAATACTTTTTTATTTTCGTGTCAACTTTATGAATACTTTACTTTCACTACCGAAAATCAATTATATAGGTGTTCCTATGTCTTATAGGAGTCACGATCCTCTCCATTTTCTTTCTCCATTAATGTAGTTTTTTAATTTTTTGGAGCATATAAAAAACATTTTTGACTCATTTAATGTCACAGTATTCTATTATACTACTTCCTAAACTATTTAATGGAGAAAATAGGTATTAAGGTGAGGCAACTTTAGAGTAATTTTGGTAAATGGTCTGTCTATCATTTGTGCCTTAATTATTTGAATACTTTAAACCTCTATTATTTTTCTTGTCATCAACTTTTCTGTTGCGTTTTCTTCTCTTCCGATTACTTGCTGCTAACCTTGGCTATGAATGTGCAAAGGTTGACCAAACATTGTCACTATTCAACTATTTATATATTGTATTTTGATTTGATTTCATTCAGGTAGGAAAAAAAAACAAAAACATTTCATTATCTGCCTGAATTTCCTGTATTATTTTTTCTTTCTGTCTGTTTATGTTTCTGAGATACATGCTCATCAATTGACTTATCTTTGTTTCTACATTGTTTAGTAGTAGAGAGATTCAGCTGCCATGGTGCGATTACAAGGTTAGATAAGCAACCCCTGTGATTTTGTTTTTATACCTAAAAATTAGGGGGTTACAATACAAAGAAGAGGATAGCTTATGTATTTGTTCTCTGGATGTCTGTATTCAGGACTACAGATGCTAATGACCTTGGAAGCCTGGGCTCAGCGTGAGATTATACGGAACTTTTTTATTGCAAGAGTAGTCATCTCAGTTCCTGCTTTGTACAAGAGCTGAGTGGTATTCTGTCATGATGGATTGTGAACTGCATCTTCCCATATTTGAAAACAATGCAACTCTTTTTTGGAAGAATATACTATAATGCTGTACAATATGCTTGTTACTAGAGGAACAAACTTCAGACATTTTGTTTCTCAAGCGACAATAGTATTAGTAATTTATGCCCATTTTACATGGGAAATAGTCTATTTACCCGGTTGGTCTAATTCCATAACATTCCATCAAGAGTATGATTTACTTTTCATATGAATTGTTCAAACTCAGTTTTTCCCATTTGTCTTGTTGCTATCACTATTAATGTGGTACATAATATTTTTAATACGACTGAAATGTAGTGCAGTTTTAGGGAGAAATAGCACAATTTAGCCCTGATTAGACAATTGGATTAGGGTAATAGTAGGGAGGGAACATTTGAACAAGTTACCAAACTAATTTTTCCTCAAAATACTTTATTAATTTTAAAATGCAGGGCTTTTATGATGTATTTTTTTTTAATATATGAGATAAAATAGATATAATTGAGATATATTTTGGCGTGTTTAAATATCTTAAGACAAATGTAGTGGGATACTTTTGGGCATGTTATATATTAAAACTTCTTTGCAAGAGTCTCTTAATATTTGAGCATATTATGAGTATAGATTTTTAATTCCTTTTTAGTTTATGTGATGCAATAATTTATATATTAATACGGATTTTTATTTTTATATTTTTAATTATTTTGATTCAAACTTAATAATACTCATTTACATTTTAGTTACTTATAAGTCTATCATTATTAGAAATTATTATACATTATCGAAGAATCTCAATATTATTTACTAGAAATTATTAAGAATCATTATTCTTTATAATCAGATTTTTCTATTATTGTAATGTTTTAATAATATCTTTTAATTGTTATTTATTATATAATTAATCTTAATAAATTTAAATAGTATATGAATCTTAATTAATTATTATATGCGAAATTAATTTTTACTAATATATTAACATGGAAATAATTTATTTTATTTGTATTGGAATGCTGTAATTATTATTTTGTAAATAATTATTTTAAATTTTTTTTCTTTCAAAAAACTACATTTTTAAAAAAATTATCAAAATAATCACTTTTCATACAAAAAAAATTCGCTACATAGAGAAGACGCCACTCTGTGTGACATATGCATGCAAAAATAGAGAGGAGACGCCATACTGCATGACTTGTTCTTTTATGTAGTATCATGCAGTGTGACGTATGCATGCAAATTTAAAGAGGAGGCGCCACCTTGGATAACTTGACTGTTGTATTTATTAATTTTTTAAAATAAAAATAAAAGTAATTAAAAATATTTTATATTAATATTTTAAATTATACAATCCGTAAATATATATTTTTTTAGACGTCCCCTCAATCTAAGCGTGTCCTTGTATGACATAAACTGTTCCGCCTTTGTCTCATCTCTTGTCTCACTCCTCTCTGTTGAATTCTCTGAGGTGTTTGTGGTCTGTTCTGATTCGCTTGATGATGAAGTGCTTGATGTGATGGCTCCGGTACATAAGAATCATATATCTCATCGATCATTTGATTGAAAGAATTGAGAGAGATTGGTGCCCATGTTGTTGAAGTTTGGTCTTGTTAGTTGGGATATATGTGGGTAGGTGGTTGAAAGAATTGAGATGTTGAATCGTTTTGGAAACGAAATAATGATTATTGAGGTGTATGAAATTCGTATGATGGTTAGGTATTTCGATGGTATGATGTTTGACTGTACGTAGGCTGGATGGTATGGTAGAAAGAAGAGGTATCATATGTGTCTTGGGTGTTGTGGTAGGATGCAGATGGTGCATATTGTTGGTGGTGGGTCGGGTCATGCTCTTGGTATTGTGTTTGTGTGTGGCATTAATTAATGACAAATTTGGTTGGATGTGGTGGTGTATGGTTGTTAGGTTTGAGTGGGTTGACATTGTTGTCGGGTTTGACATTGTTGTGGGGTTGGATGTTGGGGTTGTTGTTGGGCATATAATGCAACTCCTTGGCGTGAGTCGATCAAATATGTCTCATAAGACAAAAATAAATTTGTTGAAACCGATGTGTACTATGTCAAATATTGGAGAGTTGGTTTTAAGTCATCTTACGAGATAGACTCTCTTAAGATCAATTCATGTCGATGCCTCCATTGACGATATTGATTTCTAGCGAAGTCTCTCAAATCATTAAATCCCCATTGGCCATCAACTCTGAGTAGATGCCATTGTCTCAAACACAGTCAAGAGTCGTTTTAAGTGTGTACATTAGTACCTTCTCCGTGTTGGTAAATGAGGATTAATGGCCTACTTATCAAGGGGACATTGTTTGACACAATGAACAAATGTGAAGGAAGAAAAAGGGACGTCCCAATAGCACTCGTATTAGAACTGAAATGGATACGACCAACAAAACTATAAGATTATGCAGTACATGTCGTCTTCCCGGACACAATCGAAAAAATTGTCCGAATATTGAGTATAGCTCTGGAACCTAATTTTTTTATAGCAAACTTTCTGGAGTAATTAATTTCTTGTAAGCAAGAAATTTTAATTTAAATTCGGGTTTTTATTTCGTGTTCAATTTAACATTCGATTAAAACAACCTTCAGATAATGGCCCAAAAAATTACAACATGACAAACTCAAGACAACAACGCAAAACACAACAACATGATAAGTAGACAAAACAACTAAACACATCATAATATTTAAGAGATAAAAACCATCAACACAATATCGTCTGGTCCAAGCATCACCATCATGACATCAACGTCGCACCTCACCTTTTTTCCATGATCGACTTACTCCATTTTTGTTTCTCACTGTAATTTGTCTTTCTATAATTTCTGATTTATTCACCTTCAGGAATGTCTCCTTACAACCAGCAAATCAAGTGTCTCTGAAAATGCTCAAATGTTTGCGTGTTCTAGAGTTTGATCTTCATCAGACGCTTTGCCGTTGAAAAAATAACATGTGTATCTCTTTGATCAGTGAAAACCTTGACAATGGAGTGGAAAGTAGAAAGGAGAGGGGAACGAAAGAAAACGAGCGAAAAAGAAAAACATTGACAAGTGAGTGAAAGACATATGAGTGGTTGTATTAAAAGAAAATCAAATACAATAGTCAAGCCACCTAAGGTGGCACCTCCTCTTTAAATTTACATGTATGCATCACAATGTATGACACTACATAGGAGGACAAGTCATGCAGTGTGACGCCTCCTCTCTATTTTACATGTATGCGCCACACAGAGCCTCTATGTGGCAATTTTTTATTTATTTAAAAAGTAATTACTATAATAATTTTTTTGAAAATATGATTATTTAAAAAAAAAATTAAAAAAAAATAATTATTTAAAAAAAAATCCTGTAATTATCAATTCAAAACTATTAAAAATCTCGCAAGATTCGTGAAGTCTTTAAATTTAAAAAATTATGTAATTTTATAACTATAGAACTTAAATAGAATATAACAATAATAATTTTGATACAATCAAGTGTAATTATTTTGATACTTATTTATATTTAAAAAACAATAATAAATTACTAAAAATAAAATAAAGAGTAATGTGAAGCACTTAATAATTTTCTATTTACAATGGAATTTTAATTCTTTATTCATATATTTACAGGATCCTAATTTTGTATATATATATATATATATATATATATATATATATATATATATATATAT